ACCGTTCTCTGACACTAGGGCTGAACAGTGTTCGCTTAACTGGATCAGGTAGTTCTTTACACTACTTCTTCTCCAGTTCTGTCATATGCTGCTTATGCTTCGGCTTGGAATGCATTTTACTGGATCGAATTCTGCGGACCACTATCTGCTAATCATAATCCTAGAGTATGGAATTTTGTCTTAGTAAGTGTTTCTAGTCCGGTCGGTGAGGGCCTGCGACGCAGCTCCTTCCCTCTTGCCTTGTCTGACAACCACTTCCTTTGTGCGTTACAGCTTCTTCCAGCTCTTGTGTCGTTCCTTATTCGAAGTAGCAGTCCTACCACCGATGTTTGCGCTAGTTTTCATTGGGTTCGTTATAGTTAATTTAACTGGTTCTCAATTTGATAGTCTTGGCTCTCTTACAAGATTTTGCGTAAACTCACATGAACATCGCCTCAGCCGCACATTTGCTTCTTTCTGCCAATGACTGGTCTCTGTACAGCGAAATTCGGATTTCCCTGCTGGGATTTTTGGAGCAAACTGTCGCACATCGCATGTAGTGTTTAGACTTCCCCATATCAGGCTGGCATTTATTTTCTTTCCGATAGCAGTATGGCCACAAGTGAAGCCGTGCGAATAAAGTCACAGTTTCCTTTTTTCATCGTTTCACACAGTGCCCTAAAATACCGGACTTTCTAATATTTATGAAGGACAATGGTCTACTTAACTGGAAAAGCAGTGCATTCTTGTATCATATATGTGACGCGGGATAACTAAGGTCAGTAAGCAATTAAATTGATTTCGCGTGCACTCAAAACCGAAGTTGATTCAACCGTCAAGCGAGGATGGTGCTGTTGCACACGGGCTTCTGACAGGACTTTTTCCTTGCAGGCTTGGGACTTCATTAACATCGCGAATGAGCTGTCGGAGATGGGTTTCTCGGACTCCGCCGTCTGCTCCGCGCTACTGGCCAGCAATTTGGACAAGATAAGTGCACTTCAACTACTCATCGGTCCGGACAGCACTGACCCCACGACCATCCATTCTACCACCGGAGCTGCCGGACCTCTCGGACCTGGGACCGCTCCTCACCAATTAACCAATCAGCACAATTTGGCCCGTAAGAATCGCCGAAAAAAGGGTCTTTATGGCATGTTCTCCAAGGGCCACTGAAGAGACCCTGCCTCCTTACGGCTTA